AATATCTGTCTGTTTTAGAAGCTTCTAGCAGCACAGCGCGTGGGTTGCACGTTTTGAAAGTAGTTGCAATCGATTTCTCGTGGTTTGTTTGTATATATAGAGCTAAAATACACCTATTCTAGAAAAACTCGAAGTTGGTGTTGTCTGACTGGAGTACCTTAAGGACATTGATTAAATTAAAGAATTTCCTATAACCGCCTGTATCAGCCAAGACATAGGTAGAGGTAAGCACCTGAGTACCAACAGGAAGTCGCAATCTACTCTTCCGTAGGAGGAGTCGTTTGCAATAAGTGGTAGATTTGCCAGATCTGGATGCAGTCGATACTTCCCCAGGTTCGAACTCTTGCTCGATGTTGCCCAGATGCGACTTTCCATCACTACATTCCCTCAATGGTATTACATCTATAGATGAGGTGATTAAAATTGTGTTGATATACTCTTCGTTTCGGATCCAAGTAGTAAGCGCTTCGAGTTGGAAATACTCGGCTTCATGGATCAAGCTCGCATACAAAGGCAGATCAAAGCCATTCATTCGTGTCCAGAAAATCGGAGGTACTGAGCTTCGTAAGAAGTCCAGGATATGTTCGAATAGAAGGGGGCTTCGATCGACAAAAGGCATCCCGTTGATGTAACAAGTACACCCAGCCCACTGATTCGAGAGCATTGCGTTTAAGAATGGTGACCGTTCAAGTGTAGACTTGAGCGTAGTGAATGAGCGGCCGCCCACGTTGATCATGTATGGTTCGGTCATTGATACGGCTGTATTTAAAGACGAAGGATCATCGAGCAAGACTGGGAGGTTGCAGGTCAATTTGGAATATTTAAGTACGCTTGGCTTGAGTGTGCGCCAAAGAGGTAAAACACCCTATTAGGACATTCCGGCTATTTTGGCGACTTGGCTTTTTGTTCCCTCACGCAGAGCTAGCAGGAGGGATGGCCTAACGATCACATGTTATGAGCTAGTTAGCAAGGCATCGCGGAACAGAAAGTGCTCTACCATCTCTGCTGCCTGTCCACATTCGCATTGGTCTGTCGCTGATGCTTTNATTCGGTATCGATACGTGTTCAGCTGTGCCATGCCTATTCTAAGCTGGGCAAGCACGCTACTCTCTTTCCGCGATAGCCTGTCGTAGAGTTGCCGTGTATGCTTTCCTGGCAGTGCCGTGTCGATTCGTTTAGAGTATGCTCCCACGTCTGCTAGCACCTTCTTGGCTATGCCTTGCTTACGTGCAATACCTTCGTAGTACTGTAAACGTCCTGAAGTGTAACCGTGCGCTGAGAACAAACAAGGTGCGCGAACCGGAAACCGATTTCGGTCAGCACTTTACCCCGCAATGAGAAGGACCACGACTTCTCCACCTCACAATATTCAAATCTGGCGCTGCGCAGAAGCTGCATAGAGCCGTCATGTCATTGTCTCAGCATAGCAATCTTTTTGATTTAATGATGCCATCCTTCTCGGGCACGAAAGATGATTTCGGCAAAGAAATTATGGAACCGTTCCCGCTCTTGTTTGATCGCATCAATGAAGGGCAGCCTTTCTCTTCAAACTTCCTCATATCTCGCTTGCCTATTGAGCTCGTATGGCACGTAATCAAACTAATTGACAACGAAGATCTGGGACGCCTCGCTCTAGTTAATCGCGACTGCCGCCAGCTTGCTAGGTCCCGCCAATTTGCCACCATCAGGTTAGACTATAGCGATAAGTCCATGGGAATTCTTAGTGTTCTCGTCAACGAATGCAAACAACGATCCGAATACCACGGAAAAACCAGGGAACCATCGATAGGGGCCTGTATCCGGAAGATAATCGTCGCAGCAGACCCCAGATGGATCACCAGTCGTCATGAAATCGAACTTTCCGACGAATTTTATGCACTAGAAAGTGACATACGGAACAAACGTATGGATCAGGCGTGCGAGGCGTTCTTTGGGGATTACATAACTAATATCAGTTTGGTCCTTTCAAATACCATAACCTTGCCTCATTTGGAGAGATTGGTTTGGGCGGATAGGGCACCCCTTGATCGCGCCCTTTTGAAGGCTATCGTCTCATCAAACCTTCGGCATCTGGTCCTGGATCGCGTATCGATCGGTGAAGAGATTCTTTCTGATTATCTGGCGAACAATTGCAAGTGGCGCCTAGAATCATTGTACTTGGATCTGCTGTCGGGTTACAGACAGAATATACCCACAACACCACTTGTTTGCAGCCTGCTCTGCCTTGCCTCACCAGCTCTAAAGACTCTTGCATGGATATCATCCGACATAGGTCCAGGTCCTTCTGTCCAGCTGCCTGAATCGTTCAATGAATATCCGTCCTTTCGACGGTTACAGGATCTCCATATTGACAGTCTAACGAAATACGATCCGGCCTGGCTTAATGTCCTGGTTCAGCCAGGTGCGTCTAGCCCAATATGTTCTTTGGCAATCGATATTTCCAAGAACGAGGTAGTTGCAGACTTCTTCCGTCAGTGCGGATACCTGCCTAACCTACAGACTTTTGTGTGGCTTTGCTGTGGCTTTGAGATGAGAAATCCTTACCTAGACTTTCTCCAGGCTAATCCACATATCCGGAAATTGAGGATTGATGGCGCAGCGTCCAACTTCCTGGAGAAGAAAGTGTTTCCGTTGCTCCTCAGTCGATTTGAGTGTCTCAGTTCTCTAAGTGTAAGGTGGCCCGAGGATGAAAATCACATTCCACCCTCTGCGCTTAAACAGATATCCGGCCTCCGCACTTTAGAACAACTTTGTCTCAGCTCGGGATGCCAGGCAGGATGGAGACACTCGTGGCTCATCGATCATTCTGCTATACAAGACTGCGTTCAGAAACTGCCAAAGCTTCGCAAACTCGCCTTTTCTCGAGATACATATACCGGACAAAATTCCATCGCTCAAATTCAGGAAGACCCACAGCGTTATTATGTGGACAAGACACTTCGCAAACTGGACACAATTCTCGCCCGTCCATATTTCCAGGAAGGCAATATTGAACAGAAGCTTGATCGAGCATGGGAGATGCAGCATTCTAATGACATGATTCAGTTGGCCGCAAAATACGCCACTAAACTACCAGAGCTGGAGTGGATCTATTTAGGACAGCGCCCGATACGGATTGTTCACAACTCACATGGAACTGGAAAATGTGTCTTGTTGTCGACGGCAAGAGATGATTGCTGGACATATCTCCGAAAATTGTTCGGTAGTCCTAGTTCTTCTGTCTATTAGTTCATCTAGCTGTGCGACTTTAGTGGCAATACGGACATAGTGCCCAGAGCATAAGCGAAACAAGAAGCGAGAGTAAGCTTGCATATCAAAAGTAGAAGGTTATAATGAATAACAGTAATTGTGCAGACAGCAAAAGATCTACTTAATTACAAAGATTGTTGCTGTAACGTCTCGCCTGGCTCTACGCAATGGGGGCGGGCACAACTGAGAAAACAGAAAACGGCCAACTACCTACACAGCCCGAGAATAAGAGCTGTCTAAGGCCAGGCGATTAGTGGGAGCCGCAGCCCTCAGCCACAGCGCGCAACGCCTCGCAGATATCTCATTACGCTACTGCTGCCTAATGTCGCTAAATTCACACGGCCGGTTCGACGCGTTTTGACGATGTCGTCGCCAGCGCGGAGAAACTACCAGGATGCGCACTCCTTATCTCAAGTTAACCTTCTAAGGCTGTAGTCTTAAATTCTGCTATCTTAGTTTCTCCCTTAGCCTACCAAGCTCTCTGCAAATATTAGGCGTCGCGAACAAACAAGAGGGTATCAGAGGAGAGTCGATTAACGGCATTAACAGAACGAGCGACAGTAATTATAGTTAACAACGCGCTTTTTGGCGTTAGAGGGTGACGCACTAACTAGAAGAGCAAGAGCTGTAGAATAGATGCGCATCGCGTTTGTCTTAATGTAAATGCGCTAAGGATATTCAGAGCTTCTAGAAGAAAAAGTGTCCCGTCACACCGTGCGTCCCGGCACGCTTAGATTGACATTATGCAGCCTAAGAGGTTCAGCCCCATGATATAATGATTGTGGATTTTATTTCGTTCTAATATCCAAGTACCTTTAAATTGGTTTGTTACGGTGGGTGTTCCATACGCGTGGACGTACGTTACTAGAACTACTAATCGGAGGGGCTAGAAAGAGATCACGGCTAACTATTTATAAAAAAACTTTGCACAATATCTTTTAAAACAACTATGAGTTGAATATATTTTCTATCTACTTAACTACCGGACTCGATAACGTTCACGTTAAGAGAAGCATTTCTCTCAACTGGTGTTGGCCACAGGGTTTCTGCCTCGCTCAATGAGGTTTCAGAACTGCCTGAAGCGTGTTCGTAGCGGTATGGAGGGGGTGGTTGGCCTGAAGACCTTGGTTGGCTAGTTTCCAGATCGTTGTGGTTTTGAAAAAAGCTACTGATGGGACGTCGAAGTGCAATTCCCCATTGTTGTCGGAAGGAGATATTGTCCTCTATGGGCTTTCGTTGTGCGCCTGTGCGCCTGACTAGGAAAACGATACATATGTTCTTGGGCTGATAGTTCTCTAGGTATGCTTGTGCATCGTTGCGGTATATATACATACATTTATATAGACTTTGATTGGGCAGCTATAATTCGGTTGGAAAAACCAAAAATGAAAAACGAGTTACTATATCTGACTAATCTATTGTATACCATCCAACAAATTCTTCAAGAACGTATTCTCGGATTCTAAAGAAGTGGTGACTCTTCCTCTTTCTTTGTTGTGTTCACGAAAGCGCTGTATGATAGATGTAGCAGTCAAGTGGGCAAGGCGACAACCGAACAAATTCCGATAGTGCGTACTTCCTCTTTTCCCAAGAAGGCAATGGCGATCCTAGTGATAAGAGTAACTTTACGGCATTGTGTTTTTGACTAATGCTTGCTTGATCAATAGCAATCCACCCAAACCGAGCTTCTGACAATAGGTTTGCGCCCGCTTGGACTAACAATGATATGACTTCACATGACCCAGTCACGGCGGCAAGATGTAAAGGTGTATTACCATGGTTATCTTTAGCTGATACGTCCGCACCCTCTTTTATGAGCAGTGCTACTGCCTCTTTCATGTTTCGACCAGCAGCATAATGAAGCGGTGTCAGGAGTGAGAGATCGCAGCAAAATGGATCCATGTGCAACTTTCGTAGAGTAGCGACAAGAATTCTGATATAAGAAACAAGGTTTTGTGCGCATAGTCGGTGAAGAAGCGTTACCCCGTAAACATCCTTCTGGTGTAGATCGATCCCTGGTATATGAAGTAATTGTTGAAAAGTGTACATTCGCTGATTGGCAGCAGCCCAGTCAATCACGGATGTAGCGCTATTTCTTCCGTACCAGAACGTTATGTTTTCGAGATTTCTTGTTAAAATAGTGCATGGTGTTGTTTGGTAAGAACACGCTCGCTCATAAAGAGATCGTATAAAGAGACCACGAAGGTATCTAGACACCAAATTGAGATTGGCGATTTCACTGACGCAAAGATGTTCACTAATATTGTTTGCTATTTCTGCTGGGAGTCGAGAGAGAGGCATAGTTGTCCATGTTCTGTAGATTATGCAACAGCTATATACGTCTTAAGCAAGATAGTTTTCCAAAAACCACATTCCAAAATCGACTTCACTGCTTTATCCTAATTGTGATTGATGCATTTAGTGGATGCAAGGTATTGACCACTAGATAGTCATCGTTAGGCCTTCTTGGTTCCTGCATTGCTGCCGCAAACATATCCTGTAGCGTATTCAACGATAACTCCGCTCTTAAATGCTCTAAGGACAACCCTTTTGGGTGGTATTGGTAGCATGGAACAGTCGAATCGACAATATGCAAAAAAGGGCTTTGGGAATTGTTGTATCCAAAGACGCGGCCCATAAGAGTTCGGTCCATCAATAGGAGTCTTCCATTGCAGTCGTTATAGGTAGAAATATATGCGCGCACATTGATAAAAGGTCGAGTGTTGAACATTGGGATCCAACCAGGTACTGCACTCGGCATCGACCCAGTGAGATAGGGTGCGCAGAGAACAAATGGGGAGAATGAAGATATTTGGTCGGCTATATTGTCGCCGAAGATTTCTTGGAGTTGGGAGAAAGGCATGTCGTCAGGAACAAATCCTTGTTCTTCATCAGGGCGGTAATCCCGTACCAGTGTGGCCGAACTATCCACGAAATCATTCACTAGAATAAATACGTGTAATGGACGCTGAAGGTCTTTGAAGTTCATGCAAGTATTGGGATCCATTAGCTGGTCCTGAAGAGCTGCGAGATCTGCGCCAAACATTCGAATTCTAAGACCTGATTTCTGCATTGCTACTATTGGGGAAGAGTCCTCGAAGATCTCATCTAATATATTCATATATCGGTCTCGCTCAGCGTTAGTTAGTTTGCATTGGACTGCCAATAACAATCGTGTAATATCGGATGGACGAAGCATACACAATAGTGATCTGCGGAAAGGCTGGATACAAACAAAAAGATAAGTAATCATATTTTTAATAATGCCCATTGCCTTCAACTCTAACTATTATAATGCTGCCTAGCAAGCTTTAAGAGTATGTACTAGTGAACTTTTGCGTTCACTTTCCAGAAACGTGGTACAGCGCTTCAATTTTCATTTCTCGAATTTGGTAAACATTTTTATTAACATACTTCATGCATTTTTTAGATAAATATATATGAATTTAGTAGCAATGGTGTGAATAGTTAATAGTAACTATAATAGTTAAACACGGATCTCAAATTGCTACTAAGCTGCGTTTAACAGTCTCTCGATAATCTCTAGTATCGCAGTGTCATCACGAACTTCTGGGAGCTTTTTTGATGTCCAATCTATAGCAGATATACCCCTACGTCTAATTGATAATTCATACTCAATACTAAACAACGTAATCCAACTTTTTCCATGTTGTTGGAAGGCTTTTCCTTGGAAGTTACCCTTTGGATTGCCCAGGGCATGATTGTAAGACGAAGGTATCGGTAGCGTAAGGGACTTTAGGCATGTTAAGGCAGTCTCCTGGGAGACGCTCTGCGATAGACCTCCATTAGAAGGCTGGTGCTCCACGAGTCGAACTCGCTTCGTCGGTTGGTGCTCTGACATAGTAGCTACAAGATGGAAATAGGACCTACGACAGGGCTATAGAAACCAAGAGTATTCTAAGTCCGTGGACGGAGACAGGCTTTATTTACTTTAACTACTTAGAGACATTTACAATATAGGAGTTAGCGCTCAAGACTATAGTGCTATAGTTCGCTTCTCTAATAATCCGCCTACTAAATCTAGAAACCTAAAAATCAACAACGCAAATCCATTAAACGTTAAGAGCTATCAGTCAAGTTCCTTGGCTTCTTTTCTACTCTTAGGCGTGACTCAGAACATTTAGGAGGCCTCAGCTTTCTCTTCATCAATAAGCTACAATTTTAATGCTCTATAGAGTACTCCTTAACAACTAGGTCTTTATACTAAGGGAACAAATACTAGAAATCGAGCGTTTTTGAGTTTCGTAGAAATGCTGGGTTTAATCTATCCAACTAATTAAGAAAGAACTTCACATCGAATGCCGACATAGTATGATAACTAGAGGATATTAGTATAGCGAACGGTATAACGTGCTGGATAAGCGAGTTGGCCAGGCAAGCGAGTTGGCCACCCCACCAAGTTTGCGCACCTTTATGAACGTTTATCTCAACAACGCAATATTATAATATATAGAGAGTAATAGAGTAGACTAAGTAGTATCTAGAGTGTCTCTTT